AGGAGGAAACCGCTCTGGATCCTCCCTGCATTCCTCGGAGGTGACAGAGATCTGGCAAGCAACAGGCTGGGTTCCAGGAACCACTCGCTGAGCAAATGAACCCCCCGCCCCCGTTTCCCCTCCTCCTCTTTCTGCTCAGCCAGGGGCTGGTAGGGGTCCTCCCGGGGGACACGGAGCAGGGGGTGCTCTGTTGGCTGCGATACCAAATAACCCAAGGCTACCGTCACACCTTGCCTGGATGGGGCTCGGGGTGGGAGCCAAGGACCCCAGGCGAGGCCCGTCGGGGAGGCCGAGGAGGATCTGTGACGGGCAGGGAAGCTGCTGCTGCAAGCCCCAGCCCTCCTGCACACGGATCTCCTGCTCAGCCCTAGGCCTTGTGTCATCTTTAACGCAGACGTGGTGGCGGCTGGGGCACGCTATGGGTTGTTCCCCGGCGGAGAAGTGGCTCTTGGAGTTGGGTGCTCCTTTGGTGACACCCTGTCATTTGCAAAGACTGTGTTTGTGGCTCTTTCCCCAGCCACAGCAGGAAAGGGGTGATTTGGGGAGGTGGTTACTTCTGTTTCACTGAACTCTTTCCATGAAGGAATCCCCTCCCACCTTCAGGTGGAATATCAACACCCCGATTGACCTGTTCCTGTTTGGGGAAGGAAAACAAGGGCGAGGAATAACAGGACAACATGGGATTTCTACGCTGAAAGGATAGGCTGCATCCTTCGCCAACAGCGGCATGCTCTGTGCTACCCAGAGCTTTGCTCCTCTCCCCTCCCTGGCCATTTTCTCCACTGCTTTATACATTGGGACTGTGTAGTTTAGGCAATTGCCTGCAGCGTTTGTCTGTCTGGTAGTTTTAAACCCAGGGTGTAGCCCCGGACTCCCCTTTCCAGCGGATTTGGTAGTCTGCTGAAGCGCGCACCTCCTCTGCTTCAACTTTCAGCGTTGCCCCTGTGGCATGCAAGCTTTCCTTTAGGGTGCCGTGGCTTGGCACCCTTCCCAAGGGGCTCCCTTTGCCAAACCGTTTTCCCATCATGTGTTGTGTTGACGTGAGGGCTACTTCTGGGAATTCGTGAGCAGCTCCAAAGTCCAGTCCTGCAGCCCTGCCCCTGCTCTCCGCCATCAGTTTGGTTTTCTGTAGATTGCAGGCCAGGGGAAGCCGGCCACCTCTCGCTGAGCGCGCGCACGCCGCAGTCCCCAACCCCGCGTTCTTGCTTTCCTGCGCAGGGCAGTGTTTGCAGCCGGGTCCCACCTCCTCCGAGCGCTGTCTGGACGCATCACCTCTATCGCTTGGTTTCCAACCTGGGCGTCGCTGGGCAGTTGTGACGCTGCCGTTTTCCCCCCCTGACAAAGCCACCTTTGGCTTTTGCTGCTGTTCTTGCTTCTCCCAGACTCCGGTTTTGGGCCAGTACTGCCTCCAGCTGTGAGCCTTGGTATCTTTGCCCTGTGTCAAACGAGTTCTCAGAAGTGGAGGTGCCAGGAGAAGCGAACCCCCGTTCTCTAACCTGGGCAACCTTTGGCCACAGCCTGGCAGTCCCTGGAGTGGCCTCTCTTCCACCATCAATCTCCGCAGGGCTTTTGCTATGTGGCAGAAGCACAAACGCGCCTGTGTAGTCAGCAGGGTCCAAAGAGCCCTGCGCACCGTGGGAGCAGACCTTCTGCATGGCCTCGCTTTTCTCTTCGACGTGATGAGTCCCCCTTTTCCTTCCGTCTCGCTGTTTACCTGCGCTGGGTAAAGGGTCCCTCATCTGAAACACGTCACGACTCTTTCAGCTTGTCACGGACCGTTTGCAGGTGCTGCAGTCCCCGTTCCAGAGACTCGCCGTGCACCCTGGTATCATACTGGCAGAGGCAAACTACCGGTATTTTCTGCTGGGCACCGAGAGGTTGCTGGAGTGCTGCAAACCACAGCTTTTAACTTCTGCAAACCCAGCCCTGCTCTGCCGTGTTCTTTGGATCTGTGCTTGGGATCGCTTGCCTAATACCTGCTTTTAGGATTTGGGGCGAAAGCCAGAGCAAACCTACTTCTGTGGCATTTGGGTCATCATCCCGTTGTGTAATGCATAAATTCCTTTTAACTGACTTCATGTAGATTTTAGGAACCCACGTGCGGTTTGTTGTGGCGCTCGATTTGACCAGAATTAAAGGTGAAGGTCAAGGGTTGATCGGTTAATTTTTAGTTACACACTAAAAGTGCGTGGACTCTTCCTCCTTTGCGATGGGTTTGAGGCCAGGTAGCTTAGGAGAGCCCGTGCAAGATGAGCGTACATCTCTTTCTAAAAGGAAGATCACTTAGTTCTCCTGGTACAGCACTGCACCAGAACAGGTCTCTGAGAAACACCAAAAGATCGGGCTACCCTTCCTTCTATAATGGCATTTTTTAGGTTGACTAATTCAAGTTTCAGCAGGTAGGAGTCTCCTCTTTCCTTTCTGCCTTTTGGGTATAGTCAGCAAATGAGCAGGCATCTGTGTCTCTTAGAGATCCGTGAGTATTTCCACAATTTAGTTTCCTCTGCGATCAAGGACCAGCCGTTCCCGGACTGTTTTCTGCTGGAAGCCATCCTCTAGTTTGTTGGTGCTGTTAGAGTTTCCTGCCCCTAGAAGGAACATATTTTTTTCCCCATGATCCAGGTGCCCACAACCTATTCACAGCCCCAGGAATGTGAATCATCTGAATCATCTGGTTTTTCCTACTCATGTTCTTAAGAGACCAGCAAGGTAGGTTAAGGAGGGAGAGCGAGCCTTTAGGATGCCATGAGCCCGTAGGAAGCTGTTCAGATCCTTACCCCAGCATGGCATTTCTCACTAATCAAGAGCTTCTCCGTGTTCTAACAGCGATTGCAGCACACAAAGAGCAGCTCTGTGCCCTGGTGTGTGCAGAAGATTGACTTCTCCAAAGCTGTCCCTGCGGGTCTGCCCTGCTTGCAGCCTCCACGGAGGGGAATTTTTCAGCTTTGTAGTGCTTCCTCCTGTTCTGCCTCAGAGAAAGCCGGGCCGGTGGTTGCTGCTGCATAGGAGAGATCCAGCTCTGCTCCTGCATCTCGGCATGATGCTTTCTGTTGGGCTAGTGGAATAATTGCTTTGTCCGTACTTTAATATATTTTTAAACCTATACAGAATAGTTTGTGCTGGTGCCTGTGGATTTATGTGTAACGTGCCACGCTAAGTATAATCTTACAGGGCAAAAAATACAATTAAATGCTATGCCATCTTCTCCTCCTCTTTCATATGCAAGATTACGTCCCTTAGTACAGAATCATAGAATCGTTTAGGTTGGAAAAGACCCTTAAGACCATCGAGTCCACTAGTAACCATCGCTGAAAGTTTTTTGTTCCTCAGAAGAGTTTCCTGCTATGGTTTGTGATGATCAATAGCCCTGAGAGTTTGTTCCAGCTTCTATCAGCACCATTCAAGCCCATTTAACAGCTCTCTTTTCTTCAGCAGTGAGCGGACCTGTCGCATCAGATCATATTTATATCTTGTGCCTGTGAGTAAGTGGAAAATTTCATCTCTGTTCAGTCATTTTCCTGGCAGAAAGCTACAGCGTAGGACCCCTTCAACCATTTCTCTTTTTCTGCTGTTCTGGGCTGTATCTTGGAGCCAAGCTCCTTCTCAGCCATTGCTGTGGCTTGATGAGACGGGGACAGCACAGGGGGGATCTGAACTCATTCTGCAGTTCCTAAGTAGCTTTTCTGCCTTCTAAGAGACCTGTACGGTGAACTTTGTTGTGCGAACGGCAACAGGTTCCCCATTCCCAGGCAGAAGTGGAGAAGTGGAGCAGCCCTGCAGCAGCCCTCTCTGCCAGGAGAAGAGCAAAGGGCTCATGTGAGCTACGCGGGTTTAGTTTTGACACAGACTTCCTAGAAATAAGCTGGATTAAGGAAATGGAGGAAGGGAAGGGAGGGTTGCTGCATGGATTCAAGTGGAGGTGCCTGGAAATCTGTGTCTTGGCTTGCTAGGCTTGTGTCTCGGGCTTTACTTATGTGGGCTGAGGAATCTGTGTCTTGGTTGAAGGAGAGCAAAGTCTCTGGATTAGTTTTATTGATAATGTGTTTCTTCGCGGCCTTTTGCAACTGGTTTTGTGGTTTCAGACTCACTGAACCTTCAAAAGGGTTAGCTGGTTTCCAGCGGCGGTGCCGAAGAGGCCTGGAACCAGGCAGTTCACTAATTTACTCCTGGGAGCAGGAGTAATTCATCTCCCTGACAGCGTGCTCTGATAAATGCCAGCAGGCTCCCTCCTCCCTCTCCCCATTTGTTTACGGCTTGAGGTGAGGCAGCTGGCGAAGGGGAGCGCAGCGCTCGGCAGGAACGTTTCCATGCTGAGGCCAGAGCCTCTCTGCTCTGACCCTGGGAACTGGGCTGGTGCCCTTCTCTTCCCATCAAGCAAACTGGTGCTCTCCATGCGCCCTCCTCTGAAGCTCAGGGCTGAGCTTTCAGGCTTGCGCTCCTTGGCTGGAAGAAACGTCCTTGAAACAGCACCAAACCTGACCTTCCTGCAGAGCCTGGGTCTCACCAAGGGGACGGAGACCAGCGTGGCGTGGTCCAGCGCCGCTGGCTGGGTGTTGGGTTAGGTGACAAGGAGCGTCTTGGGCAAAGCCTTGTTGGCCGGCTTGGCTGATCCCGTGGCGATGGATCACTGAGGTCCCGTGCTCTCACGCCGTGAGGTCCGAAGGGACCGCGTATGGCGCTGAGCCGTGGGCGTGCTGGTGGGGTTGCGTTGGCCTAACGTGGACTGGGGGAGACGGCAGCATCACGCTGCTCAGCTCTAGGTTCCTATCCTCCGTCCTGGCCTTTGTATCGTGGAAGAGAAGCAGAGACCGCATGGAATTAGTGAGTGGTCCTTGAATTGGGTCTGCAGGCATTATGTCTTAGGAGTGGTTGAGATATTGGGGAACCTGGAAAGAAGGAGGAGAGAAATAGGGGAGGTTTTTCTTCCAGAGAGGAAACAACTGAGGCATGTGGGCATCCCTCTGGCAATCCTGCTCTCGGCCACAGATCCCTATACGGTTCCCTTTTTATCAGGGACACATTTCTCCGCGCAGTGCCTTCCCCTTTGCTTTGCACTTTAATGTGGAGGGTGAGGGTGCTCCCTGCTCCTCTAAGTGTGGATGCCAGCCCTGGCTGTGGGGAGTCTGTAACCTCTCACCCTCACTCGGATTGGGAGAAACCTCCTCTCCTCTGATCCTGGCCTTCTAAGTCCTGCCTAATCTGCTTTTGTCAGTGGGGGCACTTTGGCTAAAATAATCCATTTGACCCCAGACCTTTTATTCCTGACGCTTTGCCCTCTGATCCCTGCACTCTCCCTGGGAAAAGCCGGCACGGCTTTGGCTGCCCGCGGGCTGTTGACTTGTCAGCGGCTGGTGTCATCCTAATCCCGGGAACCGCTTCTGCCTCGGGATCGCCTGCCCTTCCTTCTCTGACCGCCCCGTTCACAGCAGGCACGTCTCAGGAGGGGCGTGCTGCCAGCCCGCTGCCCGAGGACGGGGTCCAGGGCAGGGTGCTGGTGACTCCAAGGTCTCTGTGGGTTAAGATGAAGGAGAGGATATTTTTTTAGAAGTGTCACCGGAGTCCTTACAATGCCTCAGGTGGCGACGTCCCCACACCACATGGCAGTGGGGGAGCGGGTTCGCTGTTTCCAGGTGGGATTTACAATGTGAGAGTAAAGAAGCACCGGAATAGGAGGTCCAGGGGATACCCCACCCCGCGCGCTGTCTGCAGCGGGGGAGCGATCTGAGAGCAGCTCCTTGGCTCAGCCGGAGGTGATGGGCTGAAGGCAGAGGGCTGGGGAGATCCATGGCCTCTCTGATACCTGGAAAGCGGCTTCTTGCCTCCCATCCGCCCCAGCACAGGGATCCTGCTCTGGGGAAGCACCAGCCACAGCCACGGGGAAAACTCAGTGAAAAGGAGCCTCTGAGAAGGGGACTCTGGAGGGACCAGGCATTTCTAGAAGACAGAGGAAGGAGAGCCTGACTGTCTCCCCTCTCTCAACGCGTGTTTAGCAGCCATCACTTTGAGTGACGTTAACCAGAGCATGTTTTGGAAGCATCCGTGGTTTGGAAGTTCAGTCAGTCCCTCCCTCTGCTTTCTCTGTTAAAAAGCAGTGGGGCAAGTGGTGAATGCTCGGGGGTCCTGGGCAGAGGGAGGCAGAGGGGGTGGTCTTGGTGAAAGCAGTCAGGAAGGGCTCCGGCACCCCTGGGGTGAGCGCAGAGGGTGCTCGGGCCAGCCCAAGCCACAGCTCCGCATCAAGAAGAGCCAGATGGAGAATTCGGGGCTGAGGCTGGGAGGAGGGTAGAGAGCGGAGGGGAATTCCTCTCGTGCTTCTGGGCTAAGGTAGTGCTCTGCTCCCACCGTCTGGTTTGTGTTCGGGGCACGGCAGCCCCAGGTCCCTCGGGTGCAAGAAATGAGTAGTTGCTCACGGCCATCCCAGTATTATTCATAGCTGCCTGGAAATACCCACGGGTTTCGTCCACGTTAACTCCCCAAGTGTGTGGCGGGGGAGAGTGGCTTCCTTGCCAGAAGAAGGGAGGTGGCCAGCCCGGTGACACCAGGGGAGCAAGAATGACCTTTCCGTATCTCCTGCTTCCCTGCTGATGTCTGCCTTGTCCGTCGCTGTCAGTCTGTCCGTCTCCTCTCCCATTGCTCTGGGCAGTATCCATCTGTCTTGTCTGTAGTAAGAACTGGAGGTGGAAGTCAGAAGTGGTTTGCTTTCATGGCAGAGTGCTCCATAATTTTTAAGCCTGATGTCAACGGCGAGGCTGAGCTCCCTTTTACCTCAGCCGTAGTTCTTTAATTAAAAACAACGGGATTTTGGTGTTCTGCTGGAACTGCCTGATGGGGAGGTGGGATGAGAGGCATCTCCTTCCCCCCTGCCTCGGGCGGGCACTGCCCCGGGGGCCCACCAGCCCAGGTTTGGGTTTTGGATGGTGAGAGAAAGGGGACTTGCTGCAAAGGCCACATATTTCCCTCATTCCCATGGTAACCAGCCCATTAAGGAGATGTAGATTAAACCTCCCCAGCTGGTGTGTGTTCATCGGGCAGTCAGGGCCCGCTCCTCCTCCTCCTCCTCTGGACGTGCCCACTGAGAGCTGGAAGCTTTTCGCAGCAGCCGGAGCAGGTGGTTGTGATTTCGGCAGGAATCTGGCACGCAGGCGGTACCGCCTGGTAGCAGGGGCAGCGCAGGCGACGTTGGGAATGCAATGGGTGAAGCGAGTGGTGGTGTGGGACCCCACCGCCCAGGTCAGCCTGAGCTGCTTCTCCCAGCAAGCAGCATTCAGGGGTCTGCTCCAGGGTTTGGGCAGGCTGTGGAGCCTGGTGTCTCCAGTGTGGGTTGAGCCAGGGCTGAGCAGCTGCACGTAGGAGCAGCACTCAGAAAGGAGATACCAGCCCGTTGTGGCTCATGTTCTACTATGTTTATAGTGTTAGTACTATAGCGTAGCATATAGAGGGGTGGTTGTCCCAGCATCCTCACCAAATCCTAGCCATGGCAACCATATTCCTTTCCAGTTGAAGACCCACCCAAAGCAAAGCTTGCAGCTTCAAGGAGGTTCTCTTGAACCTGGACCTTCTCTGAGCTCTCATCCCTGCACAGCAGGATGGGTTGCGGCGTGGGCTTAGGCAAGGCGTTGGGTTCGTGTCAGGTAGTGCCTGCCTGTGCCGGATCAGCCCTGCGAGCACCTGAGAGCAGCGTCAGTGCAAGGCAGGAGGGACAGCACCAGAGGCTGTTGCCCCAACGCAGCCCTCCTTCCCCTCCCACACGCCTGCTGTGCCTCGGGATTATTTTGTGGCTGTATGTGTGAGTAGAGATGGCCTTCGCGGTCTGCGGTGAGGTGGGACTGTTGACAACACAGTCGCTGCTCACGTGTGGTGGGACGTGGAGGTGACCGCGGTGGGGTGGTTCAGGTGCATCCGCACCCCGGGATGTGGCCGTGTACCGTGCCATACGGACCCCTCGTTGCCTCTGCTTCTGGGCATGTGGTTCATCCTTCCCCCAACAAGCGTGAGCCCCCTCTCTCGTGGTGTGTGCAGGGCTCTGGTCTAACTCCTGCCGCCTTTTCCACAGCCCGATGCTCACGTACCGCGTAGATGCTGACAAGGGGTTCAACTTCTCGGTGGGTGACGACGCCTTTGTGTGCCAGAAGAAGAATCACTTCCAGGTCACGGTCTACATCGGCATGCTTGGAGATCCCAAGTATGTGAAGACCCCCGAGGGCCTGAAACCCTTAGAGTGCTTCTACCTGAAGCTGCACGGAGTGAAGGCAAGCGGGAGCTAAGGGCCAGTAGCCAATCCAGCAGGGAGAAGGGATGCTTGGCAGAGGGCTGGGATCAGGCAACACCACGTCTTCGTGCACTAAGTTGTAAGGGAGTTTGTAGGGGAGCACTGAAGGCCAGAACAAGGCAGATCTTGAAATACGAGTCCTAAGATGGACTCAATCACTGCCTAGGTGTCTTCAGGGCTGCCTCTCACTCACCTTTGACTCCGGAGGTATACAGGCGCTTTGGGAAGATCCTTTCACCCTCAACTGCTCCCCTGCCAAGGGAGGCACCCGCGCTTGGACGATGATGACGCTCGAGTTGGGTGTTGCAAGTCAGTTGTACTGAGCCATAGGAGGGCTGGGCAGACAGCTGGCCTGTGCAGAGGCTGGGGAGAAGGAGGTGGGAAGGGGAAGGTCTCAGCTTTCTGCTCTTTTTCACGCGCCCAAATCTTTCTTTCCAGCTAGAGGCCTTGAACCAGTCGATCAATATAGAGCAGTCGCAGTCTGACCGCAGCAAACGGCCCTTCAACCCCGTCACGTGAGTATTGCCCGGGGTATGTTCATGTGGAGGAATTGCTACCAGGGAATAAGCAATAGCAGGAGAGGGTGGGGAAAGGGGCTGAGTTGGAGTCCTCAGTACTGTGGGTATCCCACTTTCCAGCTTTCTCCTCTCTTTCCCACAGCAAAGTTTTCCTTTCTTTACATTCCCCACTCTGCTCTGTGCCCAGTTCATAGAGCTGCCTTGGTGGAGCAGACCAGGAGGTGGCCGTTCCCCAAAGAACCTCCTCTCCAGCGGTACCCTCACTCGCTCCTCTGTTGTCCTTTCCTCAGGGTCAACCTGCCTCCAGAGCAGGTCACCAAGGTCACCGTGGGGCGGCTGCACTTCAGCGAGACCACCGCCAACAACATGCGGAAGAAAGGCAAACCCAACCCAGACCAGAGGTGAGGAGCACAGATGCCTTCTCCAAGCCGTTCTGAGCCCTCGGGGCCTGTGGATGTGCCAGTCCCTGCGCTGGGGAGCGCAGCTGGAGGGAGGGGGACATGGGGGACAGGTCCTGAATTGGCCATCGCTGTCTCTGTGGAGGAGAGGAGGTGTCTGCTGTGGCCACAAGAAGGGTCTCCCCGACTCTGTGAGGGGTTGGGGACAGTGCCTGTGCCCCACAGCACAAGGAGAGGGCACGTGCCAAGCCCACCACGACAGCTTGGTGCCTCGGCCTCCAGAGGGGAAGCAGACTCGGCAGTTCCCAGTGCAGGATGGCACCCTGACCTCTCTCCCCTCTTGGCAGGTATTTCATGCTCGTGGTAGCCTTGCAGGCACACGCGCAGAACCAGAACTACACGCTGGCAGCCCACATCTCTGAGCGCATCATTGTCAGAGTAAGTCCCTCTCTCCTCCCTCAGGCCCCATGGGTGCCCCACAGCCCTTTGCTGGATGTCCTGGGCAATCCTCCTACCTTCCTCCGGCTTTTCAGTGCTTTCTCCACCCAGCCCTTGCCTACCTTCTCCAAACCGTCTCTGCCTTGCTTGTAGCTACACCTATCCGTACCTGGCTTCTGGCTCCAGCCTTTCCACACCTGCTTAGCCAGAGCAGCCTCAGAGCATGCAAGAACCTGTTGCAGGACAGGGAAGGCATCCCGTTCTCCCAAGGCTGGACAAGTGTCCAGGGTGGAGTTGTTCGCAGTGAGGGAACAGTGGTGCTGGGACTCTGCAGCAGGGACAAGGTGCAGGAAGACTGGGTGCACCTTTTGCACATGCTAAGGCAGCAGCGCTCAAATGGGAGTGCAGAGGAGCAGAAGGGGACAGGCACTGTCCCCAGATTCTCCTGGGGCTCTGTTAGAGCACTCAGCTGCAGGACATGAAGGCAGGGTGTAGAACACAAACAGAGGGACCTCAGAGGCTGCAGACAGGTAAGTCCACCATGAATTATGCAGCCTTCAGGGTGCCCAGCGCAGAACTGCAGGGAATTGCAGGAAGCCTGGACTGCCCTGTCTCGACCTGCGCATGGGACCACGGCAGCAGGGCAGAACCCCAGGATTTGGGACCCAGGAGCAACAGCCACGTCACTTGGTCTCCTGCTGTCCTGTATGGTTCTGGTTGGGGTTGTTGGAACAGCTCTGAGAGCTGAGACAACGGACAGCTCCAGAAAACAAGGATATTCCATTAGGGAGAGGAGCAGAGCAGGCACAGCCTTGGTTCCTGCAGAGAGACGCTTAGGCAGGGCCAGAAGATGAATGCCAAGGCTGCCTCTGCTGTGAGGGCAGGCTGGGATCTGTTCCCAGGGCTGGCAGCAGATCCCTTTGCCTTGTGCTGCTGCAAAGCTCTGTCTCGCACCTCCATGGCCTTGCTTGTCCTTTCCTGGTTCTGCCCTGCCTGTCCAACTCCCTGCTGTCCCTCCTGCGAGGCTGGGGCTGCTACAGCTCAGCCTCGAGGTCTTCCTAGGGCTGTAGCTCAGTGCGCTGCGGGCTGGAGAGGGCACCCATGCCAGGATCTCATGACATCTCTGAGGTCCAGCTGTTGCCCATGGCCTCTCCATACAGTCCTTCTTCAACGTGCGTAGAGAAATGGGTCTGTGGGGCTCTCCTGACATCCTTGCTCTGTCCACGTCTCAGAGTGCCTCCGCCTAGCAGCACTGCAGCGTTTCTCCCTGGTTTTGCTACTGCTGCTTTTCAGTCCCCTCTTTCCTGTCCCTCCACAGGCCTCCAACCCCGGCCAATTTGAGAGCGACAGCGATGTGCTCTGGCAGCGGGCACAGCTCCCCGATACTGTTTTTCACCACGGCCGGGTTGGCATCAACACGGACCGCCCCGATGAAGCCCTTGTGGTCCACGGTAACGTGAAGGTCATGGGTTCGCTGATGCACCCTTCAGACGTCCGAGTGAAGGAGGACATCCAGGAGGTAAGAGCCAGGCAAACCAGGCCAGGTTTGCGGTCATCAGGGGTTTGAAGAGGCACCACAGAAAGTGTGAGTGTCCTTGTGAGCCAGTTTCAGCTGCTGATTTTGATATAGTCCTCATGGGCAACCTGAGCTCCTGACTAGATGGGAAGTGCCTTAGAAGTCTGTCTGTCCGTGTCTGTCCCAAACACAGCTTGTCCATCATTTCTTAGGGAATACTGACTCTTCTGCTGTTAGCCAGAACTAGCAAACGCAGAAGTTACAAACCTGGAAACAGGTGAACACATCAGATAGCACACTGGGGGCTTGCCAGGGCCTGGGTGAGAGGCTCAGCTCTGCTCTGAAGTCATCTCAGCTGGATGTGCCTGTCCAGAAAAGCTGGGTACAGTCGTGTCTCATATTTATGAGAACTGCCTCTGCCCTGTGCCTGGTTGTGCAATGGGACTTGGTCTCCTCCTGGCTTCACTACCCAAGGGACTTGTCCGGTGACAAGAACTGGAGATTAACCGCAGTGCAAATGCCATTTGTCCTAATGGCTGGTCTGAGCAGGGTTCGGGGCTGTCTCGTGCAGTGCAAAGGTATTACCATGAGCCATAGTGGGTTTTGCTGCTTGGAGTCAGAGTCACGGGAACTTAGGAAGCAACACCCCGCTTAGGAGTTGCCTGTTTTGTCCCAGGTGGATACCACAGAGCAGCTGAAGAGGATCTCCCGTATGCGGCTAGTACACTACAACTACAAGCCCGAGTTTGCGGCCACGGTGGGCATTGACAACACCTCTGAGACAGGTATGGGCCCTGCGTCACACCACGGTGACCTGCTTGCGTCTGCAGCGCTGGATCTCACGTTCTGCAGCCTACAGCTGCGTTTTGTTCGTGGTGCCAAGCGGCACTGCTCTGCCTTTCTTGGCGGCTGCACCCAGCTCTGCCCTGGGGCAGCCCCCCCAGAGCATGGGGTAGGAGAGAGGGGGCTTCTCACCACCTGAAATTTAGGCATCTAATGAAATTCCCTCTTTAGTGAGTGGGAGAGAAGATGGCGCTTCCCACAGGTAGCTTACAGGGCTTCTGCGATAAGTCTTCTCCAAGTACCCACCTCTCTCCAGGGGTACAGCTACACACTGCAGCGGGGTGATGCAAATACCCCTGCCCACGTAATCTGGGACCCAGCCTTGGCTCAAGAGCCTCTGCTCTTCTGTTGCTGAGCCCGTAGGGGCTGCCCAGGCCACGGGGCTTCCAACGAGCTCTGCCTGGCCTTGCACAGGCCGGGGTGAGGGGAGGACGGTCCTTGCGTCGTCCCCAGTGAACAGGGTTTCTGCCAATGACCGCGTGGGCCAGAGAAAGAGCTGTGGCAGGAGGAGCCGTGCCCAGACCACCTTGACCCGCTGTGCTGTTTCCACGCAGGCGTCATTGCTCAGGAGGTAAAGGAGATCCTCCCTGAAGCTGTGAAGGACACCGGGGACCTGGTCTTTTCCAATGGGAAGACCCTTGAGAACTTCCTGGTGGTGAACAAGGTAGGTGGCAGCCAGGAGGGGCAGGGAGGCTGTTGAACCTGGCTCGAGAGACTTATGGAGCTGGAAATGGAAGAGGGAAACTGTGATGCCTGGGAAATGCTTCTAGGCCAACACCACCCCTATGAGTTTCAGACCTAGCTGGTCTTTCAGATGTCAGGAGCAGCCCTGGGTGGACAGCAGACATCAGCAGGGAGGAACCAGCCTGATGTCAGTGAAAGTTGGCAGCATCTCCCTCAGGAAGGGCTCCTTGTTGGCAGGCTCCTGTAGGGAGGCTCTTAGTCATAATCTCTCCTTTCTAGATAAGATAAGGTGGTTATGTCAAGATAACCCAGAGCACCTGGCTCTCTGACCTCTCCGTAACCTGTGGCAGCCTGTTTGCTACTCTGGGCATCGAGGGGACAGCCTCCCGTAGCCCACGTCAAGGGGACAGCCTCCCAAAGCTGCCAGCTCTCTCCTGCATCACTCTGTGCAGAGCAGGAACGGCCAAGACTGACCTTAGTGCCTTGTTTCTCCTTTGTGGAAGCCTCGATCCCTGCAGTTACATCACCAGCTAGGAGTAGCTGTGAGTGTGACCTTTTCTGTCCCGTCTACACGTGGCCAGGCCATCGCTGTCCTTTGTTTCTGCGTACAGCCCTCCTCCATGGGCCGCAGCTCAGCGTCAGCCCTCCAACAGGAGCTGGTGCCCGCTGCAGAACAGCCTGTCACAGCAAGCTGTGTGGTCTGAGCTCTCCAAAGAGGCATCTACCTGCTGCCACAAATTATCCGTGGTGTCCAAGATCCTCTGAGTGTAGTGCTGGACCAGCACACCCGTGAGATGTTTTGCCTCGGGGAGCTCTGTCTGGGGAAGTGGAGTGGCAGAGCCTGAGGGTGGAAGACGGGCAGGGGTGATACCACGGTGCCGGCAGCAGTACGTGGGATGTGGCTGCAGTTGTGCCGGAGGGAGATGCTTGTGCTGGAACGCCCTGCCTTTACCCGAGGGGCTGCAGGAGGAAGGTTGCTCTCCAGAGGCTTAGAATAGCATAGAATAGAATTGTTTAGATTGAAAAAGACCTTTAAGATCATCCAGTCCAACCATGAACCTAACACTACCAAGTCCACCACTAAACCGATTTAGGGTAGAGTCATAATCTCATGTTTCCTGCCTTGGTAGCTGCATTATTTTTGAATGAAAGTAAAAACAAGGAATCGTTAAGGTTGGAAAGGACCTCTAAGATCATCAGTCCAACCATCAACCCAACACCCCCATGCCCACTAAACCGTGTCCCAAATGGCTTCTGGATTTGGGCTCTCCACTGGTCTGGATCAGCTCTCTGTTGGATAATGCTGCAGAATAACTCCAGCAGCTTGCAGTATAGAGCAAGAGACAGAGGGCTGGGGGGGGCAGAGAAGGGGTGGATGGGGAGCATTGCTCATGTGATTTGACACCCCCATGCCCACTAAACCGTGTCCCAAATGGCTTCTGGATTTGTGCTCTCCACTGGTCTGGATCAGCTCTCTGTTGGATAATGCTGCAGAATAACTCCAGCAGCTTGCAGTATAGAGCAAGAGACAGAGGGCTGGGGGGCAGAGAAGGGGTGGATGGGGAGCATTGCTCACGTGATTTGACCAAGGGCTCCTGATGAAGATGGGGACTTCGTGTCTGTCCTTTGTGACTGAGGAGGACTCTTCAGATTAGCGCCAGCGGGAGACCTCAGGGATCCTGCACCAACATTTATTGTTTTGGTTGGGTTTATAGAATCACAGAATGGTTTGGGTTGGAAGGGACCTTTAGATCCCACCCAGCCCAACCCCCCTGCAGCGAGCAGGGACAGCTTTAACCAGAGCAGGGTGCTCACAGCCCCGTCCAACCTGGCCTGGAATATTTCTAGGGATGGGGCCTCCACTGCCTCTCTGGGCAACCTGTGCCAGTGCTTCACCACCCTCATTGTAAAAAATTTCTTCCTTATATCCAGTCTAAACCAATTCTTCTTTAGTTTAAATCCATTACGCCTTGTCCTGTCACAGCAGGCCTTGCTAAAAAGATTGTCCCCATCTTTTTTTTTTTTAAAAGGTTTGAAGAGGTTTTGAATGGTTTGAAGAGGATGTCTCTTGTTCTTGCATCCAGGGGCTGTAGAGATCTAGATGTGCCATGTTGGATGCTTCCCTACGCCCAGAGCTGGGTGTTGTGCAGCCTTTCCCCTGGGGCAGGGCATGGGAGAGCAGTCAGGGTGGCCAGATCCCGAGCAGGAGTGCCTCCACGTGCCAGGCCACTCAGTCTGCCGACCTGTTCCCTGGCAGGAGCGCATCTTCATGGAGAACGTGGGAGCCGTGAAGGAGCTGTGCAAACTGACAGACAACCTGGAGACCCGCATCGATGAGCTGGAGAGGTGGAGTCACAAGCTGGCCAAGCTCAAGCGGCTGGACAGCATGAAGTCAACCGTGAGCTCTGGGGCGTTCAGGTACGGGCATACTGAGGCACGGGAGCCAGAAGGGATGTCTCCTTTTGAGCCCAGGCAACCCTGAGTGACAGCTCGGTTTGGGAAAGGGGAGATGGGGAGGGGTGGTGGGGTGTTGGCCATTGTCATTTAGCCTGGAGCAGATTCAAGGAGCTGAGATTGGTGAGACAGGTCTGGTGTACACAGACCAACAGCCTGCTCTTAGACCAGCCCAAAAAACCCCAGTATGAAATTGTCTCCACGTTTCCCTAGAGTAAGTAAGCGTCTTTGTCAGGGCGAAGAGTTTCTCATGCTTCCAAAATCATCATACTGACCCTGGTCAGCTTATGCAGGTTTTGGGACAGAATTCGGGCAATGGACCAGCGCTGGTCTGACCTCCCCCCGAGCAGATGAAGTGACAAGGGTTTATGACTTGCCATGCAGAAATTTCTCCCCTAGTAGAGAATCACATTCTTGCCTGGGAATCGCTTCGAGTGCTGTTCCTGCGCAGCTCAGCTCCGCTCCTCCTTTCTCCTTGCAGCCAAACAGGAAGCCAGTTCAGCCGCGCGGGAAGCGTGCCCCACAAAAAAAGACCCCACAAAGCAGCCAGCAAGGTAAGGGACCGCTCCCAAAGGAGCAGCGCTGCGCGGGGAAAGGTGGCCTGTCCGGGAGCGGTCGTCTGCATGGTCTTCATGCGCTTTTCTTACACACTCTGCAGAGGGAGAGACCCTCTGCTCCTGTTTCCATGCTCTCTCCTTCCTTTTTGTCTGTCCCTAATGAAGACGTTATCCGGCTTCTGCGCTGCAGGGCTTCAGGGCTTGCAGGGGAGCAGGAAGAGAGCTTGGAATGGGCTGGGTGGGATCTGTGCGAAGACCCCAGAGCATTAAGGAGTCCTGAGCTGATCTTGGGGTTCTCACCAAGCCAGGAAACATGAACTTGCTACTCTCCCCTTAACTGGTTTAGTGGTGGACTTGGTAGTGTTAGGTCAATGGTTGGACTGGATGATCTTAAAGGTCTTTTCCAACCTCAACGATTCTAGGATTCTATGATTCTCTTGCAGTCGCCGTCAGTGGTCCCGGAACAGGCCTGCATCAGCCAGCGCTTCCTGCAGGGCACCATCATTGCCCTGGTCATCATCATGGCATTCAGGTGAGACCACGCACCCGGGCTGCCGCTTCTCCGCTGTCTCTCTCCAGCTCATCGGTTTGGCCCGTGCCATCCGTGGGGTGTGTAGCGAGGGGCTGTGGACCTACGGCTTCTTGCACAGGCTGAAATCCCTTGGAAGCAGATCACTACCATGACATGTCCCTTGCCCCGTGCCCGTCCTCAGCCTCTACCTTTCTCTTTCTTTCCAGCGTGGTGTCCATGTCCACGCTCTACGTGCTGAGCTTGCGCAGCGAAGAGGACCTTGTGGATATCGATGGGTAGGTACTTCTGGGCTCTGTGCGAGGGATGTGGTGACCGGGGGAGTCTGAAGCGCAAAAAGCAGCCGCTGCAGGGTTTTTGAGCACAGTTCCAGCAAGTCAAGTTGTAAAGCCAACCAAGCACATCCACGTCTGATGTCAGTTAAATTATCTCGAGCAAGAAGTGAGGAATAGAGAAGAAAAAGGAAACACCCTCTTGTTTGGCTGCTCACATATCTACTCATGGCCAGTCTGAACGTTCTTTGGATGCCTCTAAAACCGCATCGTCCCGCTGATTGCAGTGGGGCTGGACCAGTCTGCCCAAGGCAAGAGTTTTCCTCTGCAAACAGTGTCCTTAGTGTGGAGAGAGCATTGAGGGAACGGTCGGAGCTCGGCAAGCGTGCACGCGGGCAGCCTGTGCTGGGCATTCAGTTTTGGCACACTTCACTCCTTTGGGAGCTCGCGTTACCAGATAATGAGTCTCTTTTTCTCTCTCTCTTCTCCCTGTCCTATTTCTTTCCCTCCTGTTCTGGTTACGTCTCTCATCCAACCCATTTTTCTTTCCACTTTGTCATTAATTTTCCCCATTCGTGTCTTTTCATTTCCATTACCTCCCATATCCTCTTTCATTCCCCGCTGTCCTCCTCATCTTCTACCGACCTGCCTTCTCTTCCCGTCTCCCTTCACTGTCCTGTAGCTCTTTTGCCGTGCCCACTGCCTGTCTCCTGGCCCTCTTTCGGCACAGGGGTCCCGGGGTCCCGGTCGCTCTGTGTCCACGGTATGTTACTGTTTCATTATACTGTTATTTAATTGCTGCATCCCTTCTCTCAGTTCCTCTTCTTTGTTCCATCTGCACCACAGAAGACCAAGAATCTTAAGGAAAATTGAAAACAAAGAAAGGGATATGGATATAGTTCAGCAAGTGGGACTCCAGGAGGAAGGATTAGGGGGACTCCCGGTCAGGAAGGGGAAATCAGGGTTAGGAGATTGAAGAACCAATTAATCAAAGGCTAAATAAAGAAATTCCATACTACAGGTAGAGCAGGAGCAGACAGTTTGAAAGGAATGGAGGGAGTATGTAAAAAGGATGAAGACTTTGAAGAATTAGCCAAAAAGCTGTTCCTACCCTCTCTTCATATGTGAGTAGCTTTATTGCGGAGGGTTGCTCTCAAGTACAGGACAGCTTACTGTGCGAAAGAAGGACAGGAAAAAAAAAACCAACTAAATTATTTCTTTTTATGAGGTATCACCGCTGGGAATGTTTGGAATAGTACTGACTGCCTGAGTTACTCGTTAGGTCCAGACCTGTAAAGCACCTCAGTTAATGGGATCTGCAGGGCTGCAGCAAAATTCTTCCCTTAAAAGCAAAATGGGTCCTACCGGCCTGTCAGCACCCTTAGAACAAAACGCTGCAGAAAAAGCAGTGGAAGGCACAATTAATTTGTTCTTTTAAGAACTCCGCATCAGGGTGTTTCACAGGAAGCTGCTGAAAAAGTAATTGCTTGTGGGGTGCCAGATAAAGCTATGCATGGCAAGTGTTGACGAGGCAGCGGAGGAACGTGAGGGATGGGGTAGGTTTTTTGGCTGGGATGAAGGTTAGCTCCAGAGGCTGGTGCCCACATTCCCTCCAGGAGACCGGCGTTGCCTCTCCTTTCACCAGAAAAAGAAATACGTGTGGTAAGGTAAGTCTTGCAGGTGACAAAGCGGTATTTAGATTTCTCTCTAAACGAGTGAAGGCTCTGTTTCTCTTGGAGAAACCTAAGGGGACAGGCAAGACAAGAGTACAAGCAAAATGTGAGACAGATAAAACTGAACTGCTCCTGTGCCTGGGCAGGTAAAATCTTGAACATCTTTGTTAGGAGCTCAGTAAAAATTTCTGCTCAGTGGGCAGCTACAGCGCGTGAAGCCGAGAGCCTTGGTTTATCCCATCTCTCTGTAGGCGGTAGCTGGTGCCCAGAAGTGCTGTTGCTCCGGGCTCCTTGTGCAAACACGGGAGAAAAACAGCACGAGGCAGCGGTTCCTCCCCTTTCACATCTGCCTTACCCTCGGGAGATGCCTGTGGTGTCCTCAGCTCAGGTCTTGGTAGCTTCAGTGAAACACCTGACATTACGTGGGATGCATCTGGGTGGGATTCTGTGTCTTTTGAAAAAACAAGATGAGGAACGGTCTGTCTCCGAGAGATAAGGGGCACCTCCCGTAGGGAATGGTGAGTGCTTGGAGCCCGTTACGGCCCAACGTGTTGAGACCCGAGCACGTAAAGCCACCCCGGGGATCACTGTTGCAAATCAGGTCCCCTGAGTACCCCGTTCCATGGCGAGCACTGAGGGAGCATTGCTGGTGTCCTCTGAACCGGCTGGGGCTTGTCCCTGCCAGACATGGGACTGCCACACGATCTGCGGTGGCATTTCCGAGCTCTCCTTGCTGTCTTCACGGCTTGCGTGCCTCTCTCCCGCCTTTCCTTTCCCAGATCACTCCAGTCCGTGCTCCTCCTCACCCTCGCGCTCTCCCCATCTGCTCTGGCTCCATGCACCTGGTCCCATCGCCCCACTCGCTGCTACAGCCGCTTCTCTCTTCACGTACAAGTGACACCGTTGTCCCCACGGTAGAGGTTTTCACCATATTTTCCTGCGTTTCAGGTCAAGCCAGAGCTTTGACAAAACGCAGACGGTGCGATCCACAGCTGCGCCGAGCGGAGCCGGCGGCAGGACCCCCACGCACCACGGTAGGTTGCGATGATGGGTTCTGGTGCAGGGTGAAGTGCGTGGCTGCTCCTCCGTGCCAGGGGCTTGCTGGCACCGTGCTGTCTTCACGCTGGGAGGTCCTGGGGCTCTGCTTTTGTGGAAGGGATGCCGGGGGCAGTCGGTGCTGCTCCTGTTAGATCCTTGACTTGCCTCACGTGTCCCTGCCGTTTGTCCTGCAGTCACAGAGGACACGCACGACGCAGTCTTCGGCTTACCTGGTCACAGCGTGCTAGCCTGCTTCAGCCCACCGTGTTTCTCCGTGTGCTGCTCTGCTGCTCCCACCAACGTCTCCTCTGTTGCCCTCTCTGAGGCCAGCCCCACTCATGCCACTAACCGGACAGGTAAGTACCAGCCCAGGCACCCAGAAGGTGCTGGAGCAACGCCGAGGTGTGTCTGTCCCACCATTGCATCACCTCGTATCCCCAGCCCCCTCTCGCCTCCTCTCCTGCCTCTGCACGTTACAAAAAGGCCGCGCAGCTTGCCCGTCAAAATGGGCCCCGGTTCCCTCCACCCCCGCTGCCTGGGTTGAGACCTGCCGCAGCAGGCAGCTGCGGGGCAAAGCGGGACTGCCAGGCTGAACAGCCCTCGCTGCCCACGTGGCATGGTTCAGACGTCCGTGGTCATGCTGCCAGGGGTAAGTGGGGGCTGGAACGTCTTTGGAGCTGCCTGCTTTGCCAATACAAGGTCACGAGAGGCTACGCCGGGCTGTGTCTTGCAGTCTCACCTCATTCTTCTGTTTGCTTTGAGCAGGGTTTTGACAGGCCAGGAGGTTTGCTGCCTCTTGGCTGCCCAAGCGGGGCTTTTGCAAGCTCGCTTGCTCCATCGAGCACTGGTCAAGCATTGGAAGAGGCTGCCCAGAGAGGTGGGGGAGTCCCCAGCCCTGGAGGGGTTCAAAAAACGGGCAGACATGGCACTTTGGGCCATGGTTTAGTGGGCATGGGGGTGTTGGGTTGATGGTTGGGCTGATGATCTTAGAGGTCCTTTCCAACCTCAATGATTCCTAGTTTTACTTTCATTATAAATAATGCAGCCACCAAGTCAGGGAACATGAGATTATGACTCTGCCCTTAACTGGTTTAGTGTTGGACTTGGCAGTGTTAGGTTAATGGTTGGACTGGATGATCTTAAAGGTCTTTTCCAACCTAAACAATTCTAGGACTCTATGGTCGCTGTTGCAGGAGGAACAGCACCTCAGGCAGCCACTGCAGAGCCGTAACACCCCCGGAGCCATGCCTTCACCCTGCCTTAAGCACCGTGCCCTACGCAAGCACAGAGCTGTGCCCCCACTTTGTCCCCCCAGGCTGCTCTGGCTTCGCTTCGCTGCGAGGATCCAGCCAGCCCCTTCAGGCACGGAGGCTGGGAAGCCTCCGCTGCTCACAGGGGGGTGACACGGGGGGTGACGTGGGGACAGGACGAACCCAGAGCTGGGAGCTCTTCTCTCTGCACCGGTCCCGGAGGTCGGGAGTGCTGCCAGCCTCTCCCTGCCTCTCAGCCCAACCTTTCTCTCCCTTCTCTTTGCAGACCAAAGTCAGACCTCACTCCTGCCAGTGACAAATATCAAAGCCAAATCCAGGGGCATCACGGGGAAAGCGACATCCTACACCAAGTGGCCAAAGACGCCTGACAGGTCTCAGAGCTTCGGCAGCCCCAATGCCAGCCCCTCCTCCCCCTTCACCCACAGCCAGGGCAAATCCAAGTACATCTCCAACCTCTCGCTCTCCCGCAGCAACTCGCCGCTGGGGCAGGCCCGGCAGCAGCGCAGCATCAAGCAGCCGGTGAGCGAGTGGCCCCGCACGCAGGATCCCGGTACGGATGGTAGGTGAACCCTATCTTCTTCTCTCCTTGCAGGGACACCGTGGTCCTGAGTTCTCTCCTGGGGGTATCCTCAGCCAGCTGGGTCTCATCTGTCCTGCACAGCTCTCCCTTTTTGCCTCCAGCTCTCCCAGTGCCGCCAGCTTCAACCTCCAGCCCTGCCCTACGGTTTCTGGCCACATTAGCCAGTTGCTAGTTCCCTTCTGAGGCTGCTGTACCAGCATCTCCATTCTTACCCGGGTCTCGGCTTGCTCAGCCATTTCTAAATCAGATCTAGAGGAAGAAATGCACAGATTCAGTCACGCTGGCAGCAGAGAGAAAGGAATGTCGATGAGCAGCCATTGGCGTAGTCTGGGGCACCCCTTCTCCAGGCTCTCCGTGGCTGGGCATGGTGTTAGCGCAGTCTTGCAGCAATCTGACTGCCCTCTCCGATGACAGGGTGATGAGGAAAGGTGGTCTCAGTGCCAGGCATCCCTTCCAGCCCTTCTTGCTCGGGGTACCCCAGCTGCCATCCCTTTGCTGTTCCTAAATAGCCTGTTCTCCCACCCGCAGGGCCAAGCCCAGTGCTGCACTCCGTCCGGATCGTGGAAATCAATATGGCCATCCAGTCCCAGTACTGCGCAGCCGCCGATGCATGCAGGTGAGCGAGGCAAGGCCGGCTGCCGGCGCTTTGGTGGCAGCAGCACTGTGGGAGCGCCAGGGGAAGCAGCGGATGGGCAGCTCCTGGAGTCTTGAGTTGTTTTCTGCCGTCGTCCCAAGGCAGCCCGTGCTGCTCCTCGGACAGAGGAGCTGGGGCTCAGAGTCCTTTGCTCAGAGAGCGGGAAGATTGCGTTTGGTGATGAGCTCAGCCTTGGGAACTGGCCTGGGAAGCCCTGCCCTCTGAAGTCTCAGCCCAACAGAGACTTTGGGTCCTGTCCCGGCCATCTCACAGCTGCCTGCAACGCTGCAGTGAGGTCTAACGCTCTCTCTGTGTCCCTAGGGCTGGAAACTTCACCTACCGCATCCCCGTCAACCAGCTCACAGCAGTCAACACCAACCTGACGCTGGAGATGAAGTGAGTGGACAGGGCCCATCTCTTCGGTGTTTTGGTACCCCTGAAGTCAGCTGGATGCTGTGCCACGTGGCCATGGTGTCTCCTGCCCGCGCTGGGGAAGCGACAGCAGGGGCTTAACTGTGTCTTGTCTCCCCAGCTCCTCCTCCGCTGTGTCCGTCTCCCTTTGCGGCCTCGTCGCCAGCCCTGACGCTGGAGATGAAGTGAGTGGACAGGGCCCATCTCTTCGGTGTTTTGGTACCCCTGAAGTCAGCTGGATGCTGTGCCACGTGGCCATGGTGTCTCCTGCCCGCGCTGGGGAAGCGACAGCAGGGGCTTAACTGTGTCTTGTCTCCCCAGCTCCTCCTCCGCTGTGTCCGTCTCCCTTTGCGGCCTCGTCGCCAGCGACCCGTGCCAGGATGCTGCGAGCACGAACAGCTTAGCTCCGCCGATGCCACAGACGCACAGGTAGGGAGGGCACGGCTGACAAAATCCACCGTGCGTTGCGTCATCCCAGCCCAACGCCCATCCCTCCAGAAGGGACTGCAGCAGCCTGGCTAGGGCAGCACTGGAGCTGCTGGAGGGAATTCACGCTCGGAGTAACGCAGGCTAACGTCAGCGACCCTCAGACATCCCTGCAGCCCCAACGGGAAGGGGTCTGTAAACCTGATACGTGTGGTCACGCGTATGAAATCATCTCACCCAACCCCTCTGCACGAGCCGCGGGACTGTGGGGGGGGGGGGGGGGAAGAAACAGCCGGAAAAACCAGGCTGTAAGCTGCCGTAACGCATCCAAACGAAATCCCTTCGGGGGGACTTTGTGGGTCTGTGTGCGCAGAGCCTGCATCAGACCCTTCGTACCCTCGCGTGCCTCCTTGCCCCTCTGAGTCCAGCTCTATCCTGACTTTGGAGAGCTCGCTCCTCCGCTCGACAGCGCAGGGTTGTGTGGTTCCTGGCCACTCTGGCCTGGGAAAACGTCCCCGGAGGCTCGGCCCCAGTCTCATCCTGGCTATTCTGTTTTCTCCCCCAGGAAACGATGCACCGTTGGCCTCTCGTGATGATGCCATTCCGGGAGTTTACCTACCACTTCCGAGTAGCACAGCCTGTGAGTACCAGCAGCTGCTTTGCCTTTCCTCTTGTCTGGGGCTGAGCAGAAGGAGGGCGATGGGACCATGGGCAGATTTAGTGGCCGCATTGCACCGAGAGCCTTCCACAGCCCTCTGCGTGGTGGCTGCTGCCTTCCGTGGTTACCTGGGTAGCGGGGGTATGATTTTACTCTGCCCCAGCACATAATTCGTGCACAATTCCCCCCCCCGCCTCACAGCATGCATCCTACCCCTGTCTGTAAGCTCTTTTTCTCGCTCTCTCCCAGGGCCGAGCCAACTGCAGCACTGCTCCCGAGCAGATGGGACACTTTTTCACTGACTATTATTTTCAGTTTTACTGGCTCTGTGAGTGAGTCCTGGCAGCACCAGTGCCCTCTGGTTGGAGAGAGGAGGGGGACTGGTGACACTGGGGCGATTCCCATACACCCTCCTCCGCTAGCCCCCAGCCCCACCTTACCCCCGTCTCCCGCGTGGGGCGTGGAGCTGGTTTGGTTGTGGCTGATGGCGCAGGCACGGAAGAGAACGCAGAATGTAGGACCTGAGCCACAGAAACATAACCAGCCCTGCGGTATCTCCCGGGCTCGCCTTGCACCGACTCCTGCCATCCCACGCCGCCCCAAACGTCTCTCTCCTTCCCTTACGGGGACGCCTGTGTCCTCCGTCACTTCTCCTTCCCCTCGCAACACTGGATTCGAAAGGATTACACTGGACTGAGCGTGGACGGGTCTGCCACATCCCAGAGCGCGGATGGGAGCTCCGTCCTGTACTGGCCCAGTGGTCCCAGATGTGCCACATCAGTTCTTCACGACACTGGAATGGCTCAACACTGGAGCCCTTTCCAAGAGCGAAACGCTGGAGTTTGGCCTGGAAAGGAAGGCTGTGCCTGGACGTACTGGAAGTCATACACTGGAGTTGCTGGTCCTTCTAGTTGGCCCAGGGCCACCCCCCTACAGCCCCGCTCCGCAGATCCCCGGAGACCCCCAGGACCCGCGAACGGACTGTCCTCTGTGGACAACAAGAGAAGGTGCAGCTTCGACGTTAGCCCTGTCTGTCCCACTCCTCACCGTACTCTTAACTTCCACCGCATCCGGATCTGGATGGATAAACTCAAAAAAAAAAAAAACCCCACTAAAGATGCTGCTGAGGCTGTGCCCAGGCCAAACCGTGCGTGGGGACACTTCCCATCATTTCTCACCGAGAAAAATTACCCTGAGTCATCTGCATTAAGTGTCCTGGGACCCGATTTTTGTTGGTTTGGTTTTTTTTTTTTTCCTTTTTCATCTGGCAGCAGCATGTGTGGAGCTGCCTGGTTGGCTCTCAAGTCACACAGCCACCTCTGCCCAGATGTGCAGACGGAGAGACCACTGGCAAAGCCCACTGTGCCCTGCAGAGCAAGGCTGAGTCGCTGGGGACGCGCGGCGCAGCTTCACCGCACGCCCTGGCTAACGGAGCCCCGCCAGGCACTGAAGAGGCCGCTCCTCTCC